GTCTGGCTTTCTTCAATCTTGACCATTATCACTGCCATACTACAACAGTTTACTCCATTCATATCACTCCATAATGGAAACTTATTGCGCTCGTACTCTGCAATCATCAGCCATTAGAATCAACTCGTAAAAACTCCAAGTCAATCTCCCATTGACACAAACCTCGTTTATTGAACATAATCATATCCTATCCAATAAAAACAGTTCATAAAAACAGTTCATAAAAACAGCTTTTTAGGATCGGACCCAGTCCGCATAACCAAGAGAGCTAGCTCCCTTGGCTGCTGTTGGAATATGCAAGAATGTGCCTTCCAGATAAGGTCTAACAAGGAGCAGTGGCTATAGTTATGAAATGAACACCGGTAACCATGGAGACAGACCACACTCTCATTATAGATACTGGTTATAAATAGACCGAATAAGGAAAATGATCTGATAGCCTATGAAGACTAAAAGAAATTGAACCAATGACAACAAAATACTCGTCCAGCACACGGGTTGTCATAGCAACACAAATAACAGCTGTCCGCTAATTTTGTTGTTGGAAATTGAGTAGGAGTTTTTACTGGTTGATTCTAAATACAATAAATGCTCCGGCCTTGGGTTTATGACCAATAAAAACTAATTATAAAAACCTCGGGGGACCTCAGTTTTTATAATACTTAATAGTTTTTATTGGTCTAAAACCCTCGGCCTCCTCATTTATTGTATACATAATCCAAGGAACCGAAAAAAATCCTATCAGCTATGTCAGATCAACGCTTTCTTCGTGCACGCATGCGCCATGGCAACCATGACCGGAGTCGGAGGCTGGCGGAGAGCTCACCCGGTAGAAGTCTACTTTGGCCTGGCCTCACTCAGGCCCAACGCCGGCCAAATGCGAAGGCTACTGCCACTTGCCAGTACTGGCGGCATGGCTGCAACGACCGCGTTGACGTTGTCATCTCCTTCCGACTATTTTTTAGTATTTTTTACTATTCTCTTAGTGCTGTTACTGATACTGTGGTAGCCAAGAGCCTAGGCGATCGAGCTGATGCTGAACATTTCAAGGGTGATTTTCGAAGAATTGTTTGCCTCCATGAAATTCGCTCTGTACCTGAGCCACAGCTGATGAACGGCTTGTACTTGAAAGTACGTGTTATTGCTTGAGAAAGACAACTCATTGATCCTAAGAAGTTATGCAGTAACTCGATTTCGATCGTGATCAGGCAGGAGTGTGAACAATGGCAGACAGGGTGCGCTATAACATAGCCTTCTTACTTTCCAATCTAGATGCATCCGTGATCTTGGAACTCTTGCTGGAGAATGATGTGCTGGACGTTGATGAATATGATACTGCCTCTAGCAAGGAAAACGTGAAGTCTGAACTGACAAAGTACGTGGTGAGGCTGATGCTGAAGAAAACAGAGGAACAGGTCGACACGTTCCTGAGGCTCATTCAGCACAGCCAGCCTCATGTAGCGGAACATGTCGCCAGTACCATGGCAAAGCGACGCGATCCAACTGCCAGTGGAAAAACTGACCATCCGACGAAGCCAATATCAATGTCGGCAGATGATGAGTCCACACTTGGCTCGTCCTCCGGTAAGTTTTCACATTGATTACGTGGCGTAGGAAGATTGGGGGGGGGGGGGCTCGTTGAACATTCGTGTAACTACATGACATGTACAGTTCTGCTCAATGAAATCCAGTCACAGCATCACTCAAGTACGCGCTCGGCGTTGCGCAGCCCTAGACCTGCAAACATTGGGCTGCAAAATGGTGCAAGGCACAAACTTGAGTGACACGACTGGATTTCATTGAGCAACACTGTACTTACTTGTTAGCAGTGAGAAGTGCTTACAGAGATGATTAGTTTATGCTTTCACATCAATCGTATTGAGAGCTGACCCTGGGTGGGTTCAGTTAGATGGACAGTCCTGAGGTTATAACCAGATCTACATGATGATTCTGTAGATCTACAAGAAATGCAGGTGCCACCGGCGTGAAGCACTATCATGGGTCACTAGATTATTGCTAAGGAGTTCAGTTCCAGCCTGGGTCAGGTGAAAACTGCAGTCACAACTTGCATGTACATTTACAATGGGGCCCGCGTGAAAGCTCTTTGGCCTGACTTCGAGCCCGCCCGCTTTTATCTGATCCCGTGGCCAGTACTCCCTTGTCGATGCTATTTTAGGTAGCTGAGGTCATCTCCTTTCCATTGATGCCACACATGCCATGCTTGAACAAAAAAGGAGGAGCCGTGGTTTGCACAGAGGCATAGCGAAGTACTGATCTCGACCAGATGCATACTCGGCCCCGGGAGGTACACCCAATTTTCGTGTGCAGCAGCCTCGAACTACAGTCCATTTCAAAAAGATTTGCAATCCTGGCGATCGCCCGGGGAGTTTGCCGTCTTACCGTATGCGCACTCGAGAGCTGGCTGGAAAAACTCACTGTGAACTCGAAGAAATTTTCCGCGCGAAAGCATGAAAAATGACAACTCACTCACGTCGGTACATGTACGTCTGGTTTTCAACAAACGAGTTCTTCCTCGTATCGATATGGAGTTGACAGTCAGAGAGGACATGTCGAAAGTGTGGTAAATTTTGACGAGCGGGATGGGTCCCAATTCGTTTCGTGCCCAATTTCTTTGAGCTGTGATGGAATTATTTTACTCTCACGATGTGACGAAAACGACATCGACACAGACTCATTCCCAAGGCCATGACTTGGCAAAGCTATCCGTGTGACTTCGACGACATTTTGAGAAAAGCAGACGCCTGTGAAAGCTGATGCTAGAAGACGGCGATGACTCCTAAATTCGAATAAATTGGCGATCTTGAACTACTAAAATATGTCTCAAAAAAGAAATTGATCGATCGATGTGCCGTTGTATTCAACAATACGTAGCTACAGCGCAATGACTTCCGTGTTCACTCACACCGTTTCAGTGTTGTGGGTGTGTTCACATGGCGCATGGCGTGAACCAGTCAAGTGTCAGTAAGTAAGTTCGGCAGGAAACGCGAGCGCTGTGGTAGTCATGCATTGTACATCACGGCTGTAGTACTGATGTGCACAGTCATGGTAACAGTGCATTGCGTAATGCTCTTGGCCATATGCTGCTGTTGAGCTGGTTTTACAGATGAAGAATCTGAGAGACACAATGGCTAGTTGTCCTATTCTTTCCGTGTGATTAGTCTGGCTTCTTGCATGCCTACAAGCGCCACCTTCTTTGGCTTTAGTACTTTTGTAGATCTACCAGCATGATCACCAAAACAATGAAAAAAAAAGAGTTTGACTTGAAGATAGTTTGGGATTTGAACTCACAACTTCATGGTCAGCAGACAGCATTCATAACCACAAGGCCAAAAAGGAAAGGATAAATCGTGGGTTTTGATAAAAAACCGATACGGGCTTCCAGGGAAAATTGTAAACCATGGGAAAAGGCCAGAAACCTGGCCGAAATTCTAACTCCTTAACGGCTAGTCCAATTGTTCCGAAACCTGCACAGAACAATTTGCCGTGTCCGAACAAGCCATTCTATGTACTTTGTTGTCCAAATTCCCTTATCTTTATACTTTCTAAGACCAAAACCTGATTGTAAATCGTTTGAAATGGACTATAGTCAAAAACAAGAGGATTCTAGAACATTTAGCCTCGCACTTTATCGCAGTAGAAGGAACATTATCACAGAAGCCAGCCCCCAGCAATTTCCCGGTGTAGGACGTTAAAATCGAGTGAATTGCGCGCACACTGTAGAAGCTGTGACGGTGAAAGCATGTGAGTTGTGCAAGCAGGCACACCCGACATGCATGCCGTGCAGCACATCCTGTATCGCCATGCACTTCAGTTCGCGCGCGCATGTATGCACCAAATAGCTCAGTGCTGGACGGAAACCACACCGTCCCCATTCATACTTGAATTACATGTACTTTCTGTGACTGCTCAGGCGCTCATTTTCCAAACTTCAATCATAACAGTCTTTTACTTTAGATTAGGTAAAGTAAAAAGTAATTTATCGTGTCCGTTCCAGAAGGGAACTCACGACTGCCGCTAACACCCGGTAAACCCTAGCAGCATTCCCTTTGGAATTTTGGATTGCCTTGGAATTTATGTTTCAAACTTTCGCAGGTTGTTTCTGAAACCTTCCCGGTTCACCAAAAGTAGTGTTTCATGCAAAACTCGTGAATTTGATTTTAGAGTGAAGTTCCTATCATTGCTTTGCATTGTAGCTGCTGATGAGTTTTGTTTTTCTCAAGTTCTGCAGTTTACTTCGAGATTGCAAACATTGCTTTAGTCAGAGAGTCAGTTTTTCTCATTGCAACGCCGCAGCTATAGTGAGCATTCCAGGGAATACTACTCTCCAGACAAAGTCCTTAACTTAAACTCAGTACAGTAGTTGTTGGCGAGCGAAGATTGCAAGGTACTTTGGCGGCAGTCGTAAATTTGAACATTTCCCTGGAAAAACTGAGCTTGGGGCTACCAGCCATCATTCCATGACTTCAAAAAGACCTCACTAAGTCAACATGGTCATCAACACCATTGAGGAAAATCCGCTATTAGTCCACAGGCCAAGGTGCAAAAAAGTGACTTTTCGTTCCCGTTCGAGGGGGACCAAGGTTTGACATGTGCAAATGATAGAGAATACATAGAGCTTTCAGGATCTGTGTCACTTGACCCAGAAACATGGGGCTTTGTTGACCAAATCAACGAAATACTTCTTGAAGAGTGTTACCATAGCAACCAAAGTGATAATTCCCAATTTAGGTATCTTGCAGATTAAATACCAACAGTGTTGCTTTGGAATGAAGTAGCCAAGGCCCAGACCTAGCTGTGTACACATTTTCATGATGATCGGAGGTGTTTTACTACCTCAATAGCATTTCTTAGAATAGAACACAATAGCGTCAATACACGGAATGCAATATACACTAACCATGCTTATGCAATCAACGGAATTCCGCCACTACACCTTGCAGTTCATTTTCCGCGTTTCTCTCCTCATCAAGCCCCACATACTAGTAGTAGTACTGTTCTTTCAATCAAATGAACCCCTCGATAGGCATACTGCCTTTGGGTCATTTCACAATAGTAATACATTGTAATAATGTATGTCACATTTGAGAACATATTATACAACAAGGAGCCTGCACAAAATAGGAAATAGGACAAGTACACTAGAAGGATAATTTATTATTTCCTAGCATGAAGTCTCTGATTATAATAATAAAGTCTTAGTACTGGCATAATCTGTAAAGTTACTATTACTGTCACGCTTTCATGGGTCTCCGGACATTCCGATCATATTTCATGCCTAACTTTTCTGGTATAGGAGCTCCAGTAAGAAGATCATAGGTCCTCTGGAAACAATTTAAAATGAAGGTACAGGTTAAATTATAATGACAATATTACAGTCATGTAGATAATATGATAAGAAGAAGATGTGCTATCACCCGTGCTGCGGGATGCGGTTGTCGGCCAAAGAAAGACAGTTCCGGCATCCACTGATGCTGACACAGATCTGTCATAAGATTTGTTGCAAGATATCCCAGAGGTGGTGGGACACTCTAGAGCTGGCTGCTATCCATCATGCACATGATTGCTCAACCTGAAAAAGATAGAAAGAAAGAAAAAAGACCATCGCACAATGATTGTGTCCCGTTAGCAGCAAGCCGCGTGACGGATCTACATACATGGCCAAGTATAGTCAGTATGGACAGGTGCTCATTAGCAGCGCATCTCTCATGCTTAAAGACTTGGAAGTTAATACAGCACAGAGATAACGGCAACTAGTGATTGCTTACAAGTTTGTCAGTCCCGAATCCTTACGGTTGGCTGGCTGCTATCAGTCATGAGCTGTGTCACTGCAGACCCTATAACACACATACGAGAATATAACGCTTTGTAAGTATTGAATTCAAGTTCACATTACTTAAAAGGATTTGACCAGCCATGTACACCAATGGTATAAACAGTTACTATCATAAATATCTCTCACGTGAAGCATTCATTGACGGCATTATTTTAAAACAAAACAAGATATCAATGACTACTTACAAATCAGTTTCAGGTGAGATGTGTTGGGTCGTAGGCAATGCTGCATGCTGCTCTGGGTAGTTTGTGCATACTACTGAAGAGTGGTGCCGACAGGTGCAAGCATCTGTACACAACAGCATATGCCGGCGGCACGAACAGTTGCCACTGCTGCAACCAGTTTTGCACCCGCACCGGAGGAACTCTAGGATTGACTTTGGAGCAGGTGGCAGGCTTAACCAGTCAACTGCCAATGTCCCATTGCTTTCTAGGTGCCAGCCTGTAATATGAAGAGAAGAATCACAGCGACAGGAAAAAATGTTCAAACTCCATTACATACAGAGATATCAAGTACACTGGTTCTATACAACATCTTCTTAGCAGATTTATCACAGCGGGTACTCTTACAGGTACATAAGTATTAAAGCCTGCTGCACTTTCTTATTCAACACCAACACAGACAAGATACATACTGAAATACATTCTGCCATTCTCTTACTTAGGTGTACTTTACTATTGCTGCTCTCACCTTGTTCTTTCTCATTCGGTGATGGTGCATCCACATGTGACAAGAGGCATCGCTTCCAAATACCAGCTTGGTAATTGGAGCGGCAGCAGTGCTTTAGAAGGGCGTCATTGCAGGGTGGCAGTTGGTTGGATTGCAGACTCCTTGTGCAAAACAGCTGGTACCTGGCATCATTGACCCGGGAACACGTGGTGTTGTACATGATGCAGACAAACTTCTCTAGGGCGTCGATGACATCGGTGGCAAGTGGTGTAAAAGCTGCACCCAAAGTACTGAAGGCCAAGCGGGCAGCTGCACTCTCCGGGGAGTTGTTGCACCAGACGTATGCTGTCCTGCATAATAACAGTCTGGTGCACATCCACTTCAGCGGGGCGTCTGGGTGCTCTTGTTCCATAGTTGGTAGACCTACTGGTAGTGGTACTAGCGATACCCTCTTGGCTCTCACAGGCGCTAGCACTAGGACTGTTACCAGATTCCTCACTCTCGCTTTCGCTCGCAGCGTCCCTGTCATACAGTCGTGATATTATCACTGGTGCACGTTCCGTGGCGTAAACCAACTCGGATTTATTCCGTGCGCGGGGACGAGAGAACGTTATGGACTCGCCATACTTATCCATTAGTAGTCCCTTGACTCTTTCGTTTCTCGCTAGCGCTGTCCCTTCTATGGACACTTGATTGAACAATCGAGTCAGGTCACTGACGGTCCGAACCAAACATTCCACAAACAGCAGCGTTTCTACTTCAGTAAAAAAATCTTTATCAATCTCGGTGCCCGCACTGGCAACAGGCGCACAAGTGGCTGCGCTCTCGCCCTGATCTTGCAGCCTAGCAAGTGTTTTGGCCCGAGTATATTCTCGGTAGCAATACTTATGATAGTACGCTTCGCGTGCTATCAAGCAACTCGAGCCTATTGCTATCAAGATCTTGTCGTCCTGCCTGATCTCGGCAGCGGCACGAAGGGTTTGCTCGCCATCCTCGGATTGCAAGAGCGACGTTGTTTGCTTAGTGCTTTTGCCTGGAATCTTCTTTTTCAAAGAGCCGCAGAAAATGCAGGTTTGACGGCCTGGCTCGACAATTGGGGCCTGCACAGATTGCCGAGTGTTCCGGCGGGGTTTCGGATCAACTGATTCCATACTCCAGTGTCCATATCATATCTCTATCCCTCGACAGGCCATCGCCTCTGGGAGATATAATTTATGCTTATAATTATGTCAGTCACCAAAACTTCTCTATCTCGACGATTCCTTCATCTGGCGCAGTAAAACATTATCGTTTCCCTAACCTGCGTGCTCAGTCGAAGGGAGACATGTATGGTTGCCCAAGGATGAAGGAGCACTCCTTGGGCTACCCGAAACAGTCGCCATGGATCGGTTGGTCGTGTAGAGTAAGCCCTTTTCGGCTTTCTTTGTTGTATCCGACTGCTTCAATTTCTTCTAGTTCTGCAGTGCCGCCCCACGTGCCGCGCCACGTGAAAGCGAAATTCAAATTTGAACAGGCTCTCCGCGTACTCAAAATTGCAGGAGACGACAACTGCGCACTTGGGGTCGTTCCGAAAATTGGAACCAAAAGGGCTTACTCCGCACGAAAGCCCCAGCTCCGGGGATACCCAAAAGTAGTTTCGAGTAGCCCGAGGGGTCCTCTTTCGGTTCGCCACAACCAAACTTGGTCCCCCCTGAGCGGGAGCGAGATTTTTTTATCTCGAAAAATTTCAACCCTGGCCTGCGGACTATATCAGTGGAACATGACTTTGTTACTAAACGTAGAGTTCTAGTACAACCACTGGTAGGAGATACTAGTAAGCCCAGGATTCTTGTTTCCAATAGCTGGAACCGGGGCATTATTTGTGAACGTGAACTTATCTCTCTGTCATTGCTCAGTGCACAGAACAGTCTGAGAACACTACCAGTACTATGGTTTTTTAATTTACTTTCTCCGTTGATAAGCAGAACTTCTTCATAGGGCTGTTGAATTCGGATAGCGTTTTAGTGTTCTGTTTATGATCTTTCACACATGTCGGTGATCTATCCCCTCCCCCCCCCCCCTCCCCAGATAGGGTAGCCATGGCGACGTCCATTACACTGAGAGGCTTAGAACCTCCGATACGCGTGGCTGAGTCCTTTGGAAATTTTTAAGACGTATAGGCCTGTCCTGAAAGGATGTCAGCAGAACACACCCACAGGTGCACAACACCGAAGTGAGAAATGAGAAACAGAGCCTTGCTAACATTCATTCCTGTGAGCTCCTTAGCCCAGAGAGATTGCAATATGCCTGTCAAGAAAGAAAGAGTTAAGGATAGACCCGCTCGTGTGCTGAAAAGCATATCACTGCAAAACCACACCAGTTACTGTGCGCACAGGACGAAAAGACATGAAGACCCCAATCAAAAGGACGTCACTCTTCATGCCGCAGAACTCACGGCAGGTAGACCGCTGACAAAGAAGCTGTTTACACAGATCTGCTCAGACTTTCCTTCTCTAAACGTCATGCATGATTAAATTCATGTACAGTCAACTCAAGGGGTACCATGAGCAAGTATCAAGTGACGCTCCAGTGTTGGAACTCAACTGGTCACGCAAGCGGAAAGAGTGAGTGCGTTTGATTATGGCCGCGAATCGATGTTGAATCCATTCATGAATGGTCCCTGATTATTCACATCACCCCATGTTATGGTGAATGGATTCCAAACCGATTCCAGGGCATGAAATCAAATGACAATATTCCAGTCATGAATCGATTCATGGCAGTAATCGAACGCACCCAGTGTGGCCGAGGAGACAGTCAATAGGTCACCACTGAAATCTCACCAATGTTGATTGACCTGAACAATCGGAACTGGGGTCAATTGTCGTTCAAGTGACTAGCAAGCAGGGAGAGGGGGGAGTAAGTGTCTCCGCTGTGACTGTTTGGACATGGTGCAAGGCGCTTCAGATGTGGAGGCGGCGACGATACCGTGATCAAGCCAAAATTGACCACCGAGCACAAAATGAAGCGCATGAAATTTGTCCTCTCCCAATTGAACGAGCGAACCATGAAATTCTCGGACCTGAAAAACGTGACGCATGGAGTGGAGAAGTGGTTCTACACGATGCATGACAGCCAGGCCTGCAGAGTGTTCCCGAACGACAAAGGAGAATATTGTGTTCCTGGTCCTCCACTCGTCTTCCATAAAATCACGCATGTCCAAAATGATGACGCTCGCGGTTTGTGCTCGGGCCCCCGAGTATGACTTCGATGGTAAGCTTGGTCTGTGGAGTTTTATGCTAGTGCTTGTAGTGGTCAGCGAAGCCATAGTTGTGTAGACAGTGTGAGTTGATGCGAGTTGTGTACAGGCAGAAAGTCGTCGGTAAAATAATATAATTGGTGTGTTCGTAAGCATGCCACAGAAAATGTGGTGTTTTCACGAGAATGCAACATGTATGTATGTATGTATGTATATTTTTATTTGAATTCGCAAGTACACACGGGCTACAAGCCCAATTACATGGAAGCGAATGCCTTAATGAGGCCAATTAAGAAAAAAAAGGTGGAGGAAGGAGGAGGACAGAAGCAAAGCAACAGGGAGGACAATTCAGGACCAAAATCAACAATTGCACAAATGTGAGAGCACCTGCATACACAACCAGTGATGCTGGTATGCGTCCAGCCATGTGGAAAATTTGGGACTGGGAAATGGAAGTTTGAAAAGCCGCATGGCTCGAAGAAGTGCCCAGAAGCCGGCCAGTCACTGCTGTACCAGCACGATGGTGCGTCTAAGCACACAACACAATTCAATGGGTGTGTGTTTTCAGTACTGGGGAAAGGGAAAGGATACGACATTCAGGTTGTTGTTCAGCCGGGACAAAAAAACAAATCTCAACGCTGACGACTTGGTGTTCTTCCACAGCCTGCAGACCGACGTGTCACTGATGGCAAAGGAAACCAGAAAGTAGCTCAGAAGTTCTGCAGGCTTTGAAAACGTGCTGGCAGGAGAACCCTGCTGCCAAGATGAAAAGCATTATATTTTGGTTGTCACGCGGCTGCTATGGCACCTTCCATGGCATTCTAGAGATCAGCGGAGAGAAACACTGCCGACAGGGGCACCGTGCAAATCGTCAAGCTCACAGTTCAAGCAAAGAAGTACGATCAAATATTTTCTGGGAATCTTCTAAAGGTTACGGAGGAAGAGCTGTCAGTGTGTCAGCGCTGGAGACGGGAGTCTGCGAGGAAGCAGACTCAATGCAGGGAATGAGTTGTCATCGGATTCAGATGAAGAGAGAAGCTGGACCGCTTCGAAAACAAACTGTGTGACATTTATAAAGTACTATCTCTCGTATGCGCATTGTTTCCCCCTCTGCGAAGTGTGTTGCAGCCATACAATGCTTTTGACGGAACTGTAAAAAATGCAACAACGTTTTGCTTAACGAAGGAAGTAGGTCATACATCCCTTTTGAAAAAGTTTTTAAACTTACAATAGGTTTTTTCATACTTTTTGTTTCCTTGCTAGGTATCACCATGACAACAGTTGGCAAACAGAAAATGCAGCCATCACAGCTGCCGGTGGGGGATGGTCAGGCAGACCAACAACGAACGTCCAACAGATGTGAACCAATCTTCAAACAACCAACATCAGCTGAAACAACAGCCAGTGTAACTAGAACGGGTACAACATCCAATACAACATTGACTACAACACAGGATTCAACAAGATCATCAACTTCAAGCCAGTCATCTCTACCGGACAAAGACCGACACTTCACTGGCAGGAATGACATTGTTACAGAGATCAGTCACAACATTCTCACAACAAAGTCCAAGTCATCATCTACACGAGTGCAGAGTCTTGTGGCACCAGCTGGTTTTGGTAAGACGTCCGTAGCCATTGCTGTGGGACATGTATGTCGCAATGCTGGTTGTCGTGTGGAGTTCTTTGACTTACGCGGTGTAGCTGGTGTTGACGCTGTCCAGGCAATGATTCAAAACCGACTCGAAACAAACCCTCTTTCAGCTGAAACTACTGGCAAGGCAACGAAATCAACTGATGGCATGAATGGTGATGGTAGCCAGTACGACATGTTATGGATTCTGGACAATGCTGAAGATGCTATCCAGGCTGGTGCTGCTAAAGATTTCCAACTACAAGATGTTGTGGAACGACTGCTTCGACTACAACACAACGTTCATGTCCTACTGACAAGTCATGTTTACTTTGACCTACACGCTGCCCAGTTTAAACTACAACAACACCGTCTTGATTGTCTGACAAAGGTTTGTGCTGTTGGTCTTCTCCATGGTCTGTGTGTTGAAGGTAGTGTGAGCATTGAAGA